CGAGTGGATATGGACATGTGATTCGCTTGCGAGAGAGGGGGGAGGGGAGAGGAGAAAGACGAGCAGGGGCAGGCCACGAGGGGGGAGGAGGAGGAGGAGGAGGAGGAGGAGGAGGAGGAAAAGGAAGAGGAGGAGGAGGAGGAGCAGGAGCAGGACCAGTCCAAACCCAAGACTCATCAAAGATGTTGGAATTAGTCCTCTCTCCAAGCTCCCTCTTCATAGGCCCCTACGAGGACTCATTCCCACTAAGGGAAGTGCCCCGTTGGGAAACAACCGTTTGAAGATCCCGGAAGGTACCACTCTCGAAACTCTAACGCCACGCATCAACCTGACTGCTACGCCTTGACGAACCTGAACCGTGCCACAACACCACTCCTGGGATTTCATTACCACGAATCGACGTAACTGTTGCGCCCTGACTATCATAAACCGCTCCAAACCATAATTGATGGTAAGCTATCCATGGGAAATCCACGAAACTCGTGCATTTGCTTAAGATGAATGTGCGCGGCGCTAAGGCGAGAACCACATGTTAAAAATGAACCGCCCTGAATCCGTAAAACTCTTACTACAAACTTTAGTGACGAATGTACGCGGCGCTGAGACGAGAGCCACAGTTTGAAAAGGAACCGCCCTCGGTCCGTGAGACTCTCGCAATGGTTCAAAACAAATGCGCGCGGCGCTAAGGCGAGAGCTACATTTTGAAAACCACCCGCCCTGAATCCGTGAAAGTCTCGCAACTTTGCACCACGAATGCACGCGGCGCTAAAGCGAGGAACCACATTTGGGAACTTGGCACTCACAGTAGCAAAACATCCAGTGGTATCTGTACGCGTTGTCAACAACACTATCAGTATCAATTGGGAGGGGGCCTGGAAGAACTGGGACGAGCTCACGAAAAGTCCAGAAGTGGATCACCTTGCGACTCGGGCGAACGACGCGTTGGGCCGACCTGCCAAGGGAGGTGGGAAGGGCAAGAAGGGTGGGCAGGGTCCGGAATAGGGACTCGCACGGCGCATCGGCCACGAGAGAGTAGCCTCACTTGGCAAATGGGTAGCATTCCCATTTTGGCCAATATCTTGCGGCAAAGTTGCATCTGGAATGTCGAAGGCATTAACCAGGATCGTCCGCACAAGCTGCACGAGATTATCAAACACATGAGAACCCTGGACATCGCAGTGGTATGTCTCCAAGAGACACACTGCCGAGGTTCCCCTGTCTACGAATTCGAAGGCCACCTCTTCATCATGTCAGGGAACGAGAACGACACCAGAGAGAACGCTGGAGTGGGCTTCATTGTAGCACCATGGGCAAAACATTAAATGAAAGGTTATATGCAATATAACAACAGAATTGCAAGCTTAAGGATACGAGTAACTGGAGGTATATGAACAATGGTGACAGCATACGCATAAACAAACGAATACGCATACGATATCCGGCACGACTTCTTTTCCGAGCTTGGGAATTTCACCAAGAAGTGTCGCTCACATGGACCAACGATTTTACTGGGTGATTTCAACGCGCGGCTGCTGCAGAGGCGCACCGGAGAAGAAGATATCATGGGAGAATTCGTCTTCGAGAACATCCGTGGTAAATGGGACGCTCTCTCAAGCAGGGAATTGTTGGTTGAACTATGCACAAGCTTGGAATCTTACATTGCCGATACTTTCTTCGATGTGGGAACGGAGTCGAAAGTGACAAACTACGACTTAAACACGCGGCCCATGGACGAGATACAACCCGGAAAGTTCGAGCAACCTGACCATGTCATCGTCGAGCGGGCCTGGTTGGCGAACATACGGTGCATTTGGAGCGACAGGTCCAGAGCTCTGCAAACGCATCATTTTGTGAACATAATGGAATTGGAAGTCAACATCCCTATACCAAGAGCCTCCTCAACGACAACCACAATACGATTGGAAGTATTTTCATCAATCAGAGAATGTCGGAAACTATAGTTCTGGCAATGTGGAAAAATGGGAAGCAAAGCCTACGGACGACACCGTCGACGGGAAAGCAGCAACAATTGCTTCATGTATGCTGGAATCGGCGAAGGAATATGTACCTCTCTCGTCCGCTACCCCACACATGTTGGATCACGCAGCGGACGTTGCATTTCATTGAACAGAGAAACAGTTGCAGACAGCATGGGGGATCCAACGAGGAAGCCAAAGCATTCAACAAAATCAGTTGTCAGCACGTGCAGACAGGAAGAAAGGGCTGGAACATGCTGTGGAACATGGTGCTTGGGTGGCAATCCTGCTCCTAGATAGATTGCAAAATAGATCTTGGCAACATGGAAGATTGCAAAATAGATCTTGGCAACTTGTGGATAAAGAAAGCAAAGCAGAGGCAATGGCTGAATATCTGGAAAAAGAGCAATGGCAATTATATGATGGACCAGAAGAGCTCCCTCAACTCAACCGAGACGGGGAGCATTAAGCAGTGACACGGGGGACATCAGCTTGGAAGAATTACGACGAGCAGTAAAGGCATTGAAAAAGCAGAAAGCTGCTGGCAGCGATGGCGTACCGCCAGACCTTTTGCAGGCATTGTGGTCGTCAGACAACGCGCTGGGTATTGTTTTGGATCTGTGTAACACATGTTGGCGATCCAAGCATGTACTGACAGAGTGCCGGAGATCCTCGGTTGCAACTATATGCAAAAAAAAGAGACACGTCATCACCTAGCAACTGTAGGCCTATATCGTTACTACAAGTTGGATATACAGTATTGGCCAGTGTATTGTTGTATCGCTTGAAGACTGGGGGCGTGGAAGAAGCACTGCGCGAATCTCAATATTGATTCCACCCAGGACGAGGCACCTCAGACGCGCTTTTTCTGGTTCGCCAGTTGATTGACGCAACGTTGGAAGACAAGGACGGCACTTTACTTCTCTTCTTACTAATAATAAAGCCAGAGGGGGTGATACTTGCACTCCAGCGCGTCCTTGTGCCGCCAGCCATGGTAGATATGGCGCAGGCAATCTAAACTTCGAGAGAGTTTGTCGTCAAAGATGGTGCAGACACAACGTCCCCGAGGCCTCAAGCGGCAAGCATAGCTCAGGGCTGCCCGTTGTCGCCGTACTTGTTTGTCATCGTTATGTCAGTTATTATGGAGGCTATGGACAGAAGACTGACGCCATTCCGAACAACATGTCCAAACCCTACGTGATCACGGATGACTTGCTGTACGCAGACGACACAATGCTGGTGGCTACGAAACAGGACGCTCTTCAACAGCATCTGGACGCGCTGGTGGAAATCGCAAAGCCTTTTGGTCTTGAACTTAACGTATCCAAAACTATATGATCAAGAGTGCGATCGGATGCAAACGTTGCTGGGCCGGAAGGGGATCTGATTACATGCAAAGAAGAGGCTGTATATCTGGGCGGGCTGCTGAGTGTCGACGGGAAGCCACGAGCAGAGCCGAAGCAAAAGGAGCATTCGACTAGATCAGCGCTGTGTGGAGCCACGCCAAGGTGACCAGACAATACAAAATCCGTGTGTTGGATGCTTGTGCATTCTCAAATCTGCTCTATGGATTGGAATCTTGCATGCTGCTGCAAGCCGACAGAGACCGCCTCGGCAACTTCTAAGCGAGATGCCTCCGAAGAATATGCCAAATAGAAACCTGTCTGTTTCTCCCGTGTCAGAAACGTCGAAGTCAGAGCGGTTGCCAACGCCGCGCGCTTATCATCGCAGTTATTGAGACGAGAGCTGCAGTTATTTGGTAAATTGGCAAGGGATTCGCCGAGAAGCCTGCCGAGAGCAATGCTCTTCGAGAGTGGGAGCTGCCAGCCGAGAAGATGGAACAGTTTATGCTCTCGTGGGCGCCCGCGTCTGCAATGGGCTACATATGTGCACGCCGGGCCCTAGAGGCAGCAGGGGGCGACAATGACAATTTGCACGACCTGCTTGCTGCAAGGCTCTCCAGCACAATGGCACCAAGCCGTTGATGACTATTGTATGTAATCGTGTTCCCGCCTTCTCCCTGTTCCCTCCGCTCCCCTCCCCCCCGCTCCCTCCCCCCGTCCTCTTGCATGTTCAGTGTGCGATGTGCGAGTGTAGTTGTACCCGCCGCCCAGCACTGGTCAATGAACAGTAAATGCGACCCGGCGCACGTGCATTCCGCATAATTTTCTGCACATGTTTCTGGCCTTCGTTTTCAATCCAATGTGTGCCGATGCGCCGTCTAGGCGCGGCTTCTTCCTGTCCTATCATGTCCTCCTTCCATCTGTGAAAGTGTTGTCAACTGTCAAGCTTCAGAATCATACATGGTAATTAAGGAAAACTCAGGCGAAACGCCTAATCCGCACTTCCGACTGGCCTCGGGGTGCGACAGGGAGGAGTTACACACAAGGGAACGGAATGGAGGAGCAGGACGACGAGGGAGGAGTTACACACAAGGGAAAGGAGCGCGGGTGGGGAGGAGGACGTCTGAGGTGAACGAGAAGGACGACAAGGGCGGCGAGAACGAGAAGGATGAAGACAACTGGGAGTGACCCTCCCATCCTCGGTGAAATTCACGAAGCCATACCCGACGTTACAATCCTGCCGGCGCTGGCACACCCACCCGTTGCGAGCAGCCGACAGATGGCGCCAAGCCGCAGAACACGATCGACCCACGAACCCAGAAAAGGATATGGAAATGTGAGGCATGGCAACGTTTCCAAGATACCTGATTGGGCGACTGGCAATTGCAATGCTGAGTGTATCGATCTTGATGTACTGTGCCGAAGTCTCTGCTGTGCTGTGCCGTGCTGAACTGCGATGTGCCGTGCCGCGATTGTGCTCTCTATAGCGTTGTGGATCGAGTCCTCCTTGGCATTCGAGTCCTGACCGAACTGATCTGGATCTCAAACTCGAGCTGCCTGAGCACATAGTAGCCGCTTCAGAGCTAGTTGAGGTGGAAACGTGGAGGACGTTCAATCAACTCGCCATCAAAATCCGACTCGGCTCTGAAAAGGAACGACACGACACGGGGCTCAGGCTCATGGACGCGCCACAGGATGTGACAGGGGCGCAATAGGGGATGCGCCAGGGGACGTGTCAGGGGACGCATCAGGGGACTTTCCCTGGACGTATCAGGGACCTGCCATGGGACGTGCCCATGCGCGTGCCATGGGGCGGCCAGAAGGCGTCGTGCCAAGGGACGCTGCAAGGGGCAAGCCACGGAACGGGCAGGGGAAACGCCTGGGGACGAGCAAGGAAACGCCACAGAGGACGAGCCGGGGAACGTGCCACGCCGAGTGGCGTGCCAGGGAACGTGCTGGGGCACGTCACGCCTGGACGTCGCAGGGAACGCGCCAGGGGGCCCGCCAGGGCGCCCGGGGACGCCCCACGGACGAGCGGGGTTGGACTGCGACGCACTCTGCTGCGACAAGCGTTTCGCTCCACACATCCTCAACACATCATCATGTTCGACATCCGCCCGGGCGACCTGGACACGAGAAACCAAGCGCTCGCTCAACACATCCTCAACACATCCTCATGCTAAACGTCCGCCTGGGCGACCTGGACACGCGAAAACGAGCGGTGCGCTCGAGACATCTTCCGAAAATCTTCATATTAGACATCCGCCTGGGCGACCTAGGCACGTGCAAGCAAGCGTCTCGCTCAACACATCCTCGACACATCCTCATGCTAGACATCTGCCTGGAGCGACCTGGACACGCGAAAACAAGCGTCTCTCTCGAGACATCCTCAACTAATCCTCATGCTAGACATCCGCCTGGGGACGCTTGAAACCAAGCGTCTCGCTGGACACGTCCTCAAGGCCTGGGCACGTGAAAGCAAGTATTTCACCTGAGACATCCTCTGAATTCTGGTCCCCAGGAGAGGAACAAATTGTAGTACAAAACAAGCGTTTCGCTCGAGACGTCCTCAGCACATTATGCAAATTGCAAAACAAGCGTTTCGCTCGAGACATCCGCAACAAACGAAAATGCTGTATTGAGCCTGTGTTCTTTCTATCGATCGGAATTTCAAAAATCAGCGTTTCGCTTGGGACATCCTCAACTGTTTAATTCGCCAGCCCTACGCGACCTCATCATTTATCGCAGATTAAATTCGCCGACCCTACGCAAGTCGAGGCTAGGGGGGTGACCATCCAAAAAAGAACCCTAGGGCCAGGCCCTTTCCGGGAACATGATCGACCCACGAACCCGGAAAAGAATGTGTGTGTATATATATATATATATATGTATATGTCCGCCAGCCCCCTTGTGGGGCCACCAGGCTGTGGGCCTAAGCTTCGCAGTTTCCTGTACCAGTTGCAGCTTCCAGTTTCCACTGTTACAGTTCTGCTTCTTGCTGCTTACTGTTCCTTGTTGACTTCTTGCTGCTTACTGTTCCTTGTTGATGGACCGCGCGAGGGGGGGAGGTCCAAAACAGGCATTTCTACCACGCCCAAACCGTATCGTCTGAATTGCTGGGGCAGGTAAAAATCCGGCGGCACCCCTCACGCAGATCGGCAGGGTCAGGGTCCAAAAACACGAGGGATGTGCCACATTTCTAATAAAAAAAATCCTGACACCCCTCACGCAGATCGGCGGGGTCAGGGTCCAAAAAACACAGGGGATTTGCCACATTTCTGAAATTCAGCGGCACCCCTCACGCAGATCGGCAGGGTCAGGGTCCAAAAACACAATGGATTTGCTACATATCTAAAATTCGGCGGCACCCCTCACGCAGGTCGGCGGGGTCAGGGTCCAAAAACACATGGGATTTGCCACATTTCTGAAATTTCCTGCCACCAGAGCGAGATCCACGCGAGCGCGACGAGCACGCGATTGCACAAGAACCTCACAGATGCTGCAACAGCAATGGGACGCTACGATGGAGAAGGAAAGAAGAAAAAGAACATGATCAACCCACGAACCTGGAAAGGAATATAGAAATGTAACGCATGGCAACGTTTTCAAAGACGCCTGATTGGGTGACGGGCAAATGCAATGCTGAGTGTATCGATCTTGATGTACCCTCCCGAGGGAAACCTCAACAATTCACACTGCGCCCGCGCTCCCAGGGCCCCGATCCCTCGTAGATTACACTGGGGTCGCGCTCCCAGGGCCCCGACCCTTCGTAAATTACGCTGCGCCCGCACTCCAAGGGCCACGATCCCAAATAATTGACCCTGCGTCCGCGCTCACAGGGCCACCATCCTTTGCACATGACGGAGGGTCCGCGCTCCCACTGCCGCGATCCCTCGTAAAATACACTGGGGTCGCGCTCCCAGGGCCACGATCCCCTTGTAAATTACGCTGAGTCCGCGCTCCCAGGGCCACGATCCCTTGTAAATTACATTGCGTCCGAGCTCCCAAGAAACGCCACGATCCCTCGTAAATTACGCCGCGTCCGCGCTCCCAGGGCCTCCTGGGGCATGCTGGGATGCCCAGGTCCCTCAAGTTTTGCAAAACAAGCGTTTCGCTCGAGCCTTCCTCGACTTTTTGACGCGGGGGACGCACACCATCCTCGGGCGGGCACGCAAAAACTCCTGTGTGGCCAAGGAGATCCTTGAAAAACAAGAAAGAATTAGTCGAGACATCCTCGAAGTTCCTGCGCGCGGGACGCGGCACGCGCGAGACATCCTCGGAATTCCTGCGCGCGGGACGCTTTCCCGCGTCGCGGTCGGGGCTCCAGACCTCGTTGTTGTTCGAGGATTCTGCTGAAAATGCCCCGCACCTTCTTTTTTACCCCCCAAAAAAAACATGATGGACCCACGAACCCGGAAAGGGATATAGACATGTGGAGCATGGACACGTTTTCACGATACCCAACTGGGCAACACCTCACGAAACATCCCACGAGACACTTCACGAAACATCCCACGAGACACCTCACGAAACATTCCACGAGACACCTCACGAAACATTCCACGAGACACCCCGCGAAACATTCCACGAGACACCCCACGAAACATTCCACGACGACAGGCAACCACTCAACCAAGGCGGTGTGGTCGTGCTGGGGAGTGGTCGTGCTGGGGTGTGGTCGTGCTGGGGGGTGGTCGTGCTGGGGGGTGGTCGTGCTGGGGGGGTGGTCGTGCTGGGGGGTGGTCGTGCTGGGGCGTGGTCGTGCTGGGGCGTGGTCGTGCTGGGGCGTGGTCGTGCTGGGGCGTGGTCGTGCTGGGGTGTGGTCGTGCTGTGGTGAGGTCGTGCTGGGGTGTGGTCGTGCTGGGGTGTGGTCTTGCTGGGGTGGGGTCGTGCTGGGGTGGGGTCCTGCTGGGGTGTGGTCGTGCTGGGGTGTGGTCGTGCTGGGGTGGGGTCGTGCTTGGGTGGGGTCGTGCTGGGGTGTGGTCGTGCTGGGGTGGGGTCGTGCTGGGGTGGGGTCGTGCTGGGGTGTGGTCGTGCTGGGGTGTGGTCGTGCTGGGGTGTGGTCGTGCTGGGGTGCGTGCTGGGGTGGGGTCGTGCTGGGGTGGGGTCGTGCTGGGGTGTGGTCGTGCTGGGGTGGTCCGCACCCTGTGATTTATCGATCGGGTCGTGCTGGGGTGTGGTCGTGCTGGTGCTGGGGTGTGGTCGTGCTGGGGTGTGGTCGTGCTGGGGTGTGGTCGTGCTGGGGTGTGGTCGTGCTGGGGTGTGGTCGTGCTGGGGCGTGGTCGTGCTGGGCGTGGTCGTGCTGGGGTGTGGTCATGCTGGGGGTGTGGTCGTGCTGAGGTGTCCCGCACCCTGTGATTTATCGATCGGGATTTCAAAAACAAGCGTTTCGCCTGAGACATCCTCAAATTTTAATCCGCCGGCCTCCTTCGATCTCGATATTTATCAGGGAAAGAATCCGCCGGCCTCCTTCAAGTTGGGCACGGGGGACATGTTTACATAGGAAAAGAGAACCCTGGGCCTATGCCCTTTCCGGGAAAAACACGGTGATCCGCGGACGCGTTATTTATCGAGGATCCGAGGCGGGGGGCGGGCACGCGCGAAACGCATGTTTGCCACGCCGGATTGGACTTCACCTCGTTTTTTATCGAGCGGAAATCCGCCGGCCTCCTTCAAGTCAAAACCGGGGATAAACACACCTAAAAGAGAACCCTGGGCTTCAGCCCTCTCTGGGGAACATGATGGACCCACGAACCCGGAAAGGGATATAGACATGCGCAGCATGGACACGTTTTCACGATACCCAACTGGGCGACATCTCACAAAACATCCCACGAGACACCCCGCGAAACATCCCACGAGACACCTCGCGAAACATTCCACGAGACACCTCGCGAAACGTTCCACGAGACACCCCGCGAAACATTCCACGAGACACCCCACGAAACATTCCACGAGACACCCCACGAAACATTCCACGAGACACCCCACGAAACATTCCACGGGGGTGCGACTGGGTGTGGTCGTGCTGGGGTGTGGTCGTGCTGGGGTGTGGTCGTGCTGGGGGGGTGGTCGTGCTGGGGGGTGGTCGTGCTGGGGCGTGATCGTGCTGGGGCATGGTCGTGCTGGGGCGTGGTCGTGCTGGGGTGTGGTCGTGCTGTGGTGAGGTCGTGCTGGGGTGTGGTCGTGCTGGGGGGTGGTCGTGCTGGGGGGTGGTCGTGCTGGGGGGGTGGTCGT